AACAACACCATAATTCTAAAAATGGGTAGCATGTAATATCTTAGAGATGTCCTAGATGAAATTGAACCCTAAGATTTTTCTCTTAATCTTCATTAAGAAAAGGAAAATATCTTCAACTGGGAACCATAGCAACTTTGTTTCTGCTAAGAGTTGCAGGTCTGGATTTTCCTCCAAGACACTGTCTTTTTACTCTGGTACAAACTCCTTTGAGTCCATCATTGTGTATTATTGTAAAGCAAATACCTGCCCAATATTTCTGGAAAGGGCTCAAATTCAATAAAGAATAAGATTGCATAACCATTTTTTTTAAAAAAAGATAATTGTAATTTCGTGGGTTAGTTTCTGGGTCCTCTGTACTGTACCATTGGTCTACCAGCCTGTTTTGATGCCAATACCATGCTGTTTTTTGTTACTATTTCTCTGTAGTATATATTGAGATCTGGTACAGTGATGCCACCTGCTTCACTCCTTCTGCTAAAGATTGCTTTACCTATTCTGGGTCTTTTATTTTTCCAGATAAATCTCATGATTGCCTTTTCTATTTCTATGAGGAATGCCATTGGGAATTGCATTAAATCTGTATAGTGTTTTTGGTAGTATGGTAATTTAGATAATATTAATTCTGCCTATCCAAGAGCAAAGCTAACACCATTCATGAAGCTATACATAAAATCTTAACAAATGATTAATACACCAGACTAACAAAAAAGTATAACATGTCGTGATTAAAAAGTTTCCCCTTAGGAATGCAAGATCAAATGGAGCAACTTAAAAATGTATTTTGCAACATTAACATATTAAGGAAGAAAAAAAATCATATGATTACCTCAACACACTATAAGTGTTTGTTGAAAGTCAATATATGTATGTATTCAGGAGCAATAGTCTCAGCAACGTTGGAATAGAATGGAAACTTTCTTATTCTGGCAAAGTATAACTATGAAAAACCAGACACACAACAAAGTGTTTAAATTTTCCATTTCCTATCAGGCATAAGACAGCAGAACCATTACTGGTTTCACTCAAACCATTCCTGGGTGAGTATATCCAATGTTGTATAATATGAATACAAACAAATGCATGATATTTTGAAATGGCAGAAATAAGCTGCCATTATTCAAAAATGATAAAACTGTGTATGCTTACAGTCCAAAATATCCAGGAATGTCTATAGAATAAACAAGTTTAGCAAGGGTACTGGGTAGAAAATCAGTATATAATTTACCTACTCCTACAATCTCAATCATAGTATAAAAGTTCACAACTTATATAGCTTTCAATAGTATTTTATTTCCAGTAGAAGTTTAACAAATCACATTCATGACTTCTTTGGAGCAAATTGTAAAACTTTATTGAGAGAATTTGAACTTGAAATCTGATATAAGTGCAGGCTTCGTAGTTTTAGCTTGTCTTTGTGTAACCTTCTTGCCATGCTTGATCTATAATAGAAACATAACCGTTGGGAGAATTTGTAAGGAGACTTTTATTTATATGAAATTAAAGGTTTACTAAGGAAGCTACAGTTTGGTTTCATAAAATGAAACCAAAGACTCACCATTTGGCTTACATTCAGATAGAACTCTGTTGTGACTTTAAAAATTGACTTCTAAGCATAAAAATATAACTAGATTTTAAACTTGCCATAGTTCCTAGTGGCACAAAGATACCAAGAGACCATTTGAGTTCAGAACAGATTAAATCAAATGAATTTATAAAAGGGTATTTTCAAGGACAGAGGAAAAATGGGTATACAAGCCATAAGTGCAATCAACACACAAAATTCTGAGAAACAAAGAAATTTATGAAAAGTGAATGATTAAAAATCTTGGCTCTAAACAATATTTCAAATATAAGATAGCTGAAATAGTGTCCCGTTTTCAACTGCAAAAGATAAGCTCAGTAATGAATTTTGTTGTCTACTGTGCTAATGTGCAGAGTTCATTCTTTGGGCAGGTTTACTGGTTTAAGAGTAGGGTGACCATATGTTCTCAGTTTTCATCTATACTCCAGGTATAAATATGAATAGCACTTCTATATACACTTGAAAATAATTCTTTTTATATTAATTATATGATCAAACATTTTCCAGGCCATTGCCCTCATTTTTCAGGTCAAAATATAAATTAGACATATGCCGTATCTCACAATGTTTGGGGAGAGAGGGGGGGGGAGAGAAAGAGAAAGTGGGATGGGTTAGAGCAGGGAGGGAAAGAGAAAAAAGAAAGGAAGAAAGGGAAGGGGACAAGGCAGGAAAGGGAACAGCTTACAAATTTCAAAAATGCTCCCATGGTATTCATGGTATGTTTTTCATGTTTAGCTTGAGGTACCACAGGATATATTAAATAATGCATGCTTTCCTAATATATAAACCATTGATCCATATTTGTTTGTGGGACTCAAGATTGATCCCAGGGCCTTGTGCATGTGAGGCAAGGACTCTACCAACTGAGATATATCTCTAGTCCCATTGATCTAGTCCCATTGATCCATGTTTTGAAAATAAGAATTAAAAAATATATTCCTTCACAATTATACAATCAATTCAATACCTGATAGTGTCACAGTCTTTATGAGTTGTTTCCATTTTCTTCACCATTATGTAAACTCTACTGAATATTCTCTTCATAGCTGTCTTAAAAACGAGCCATCTTTCTAATTTATTAGTTGGAATATTCTTACTTTTACTAAAGATTCACAAACATCTTCATATGTATCTCTTTCTCCTGTACTGTTGCTTATACTATTATCTTTTATTTTGAATAATCACATAACTTGTTACCTATTTTAAAATACATTCACTTCAAGGCCATGGTCTTCTTAAGAGAACATTTCAGTCCTAAGTACTTGGAAAACTTCCTGTAATGTAAATACCCTAATGGAATTGATCAGCAATATGGAGTAAAATATTTAGAAGAATAATGCAAAATAATTTCTTCCATAAACATCAAGTGCTTCATTAAAGTCTGAAGCTCTTGGTAGTAAGGGTCAGCAAATTGAAAAACACATGTGGAAAACAAAAAGTTGACCCAGAGAGGAAGTACTGCAATTATAGTCTTTGAACTTCAACTTCTAACAATTGGCATATCAAGGAAGAAACAATAATATGCCACCTAAGATACAGTTCAAGGTGATTCTATCCTATGGTGTCTACAGTCTTATTAGGAGCAGTAGCTCATGAACACTGGCAATGGGACAGGAAGTGCTTAGTGTAGGCACCTTACAAGCACCTTGAGCATTACCCACCTACACACACACTCTCCCTAATTCATTAGTCACAGAAAGTACAAATGAGACTATTTCCATTTCATTTTTCAGTCATCCCAGTCTTCATTTGGTAAGGGATTTAAAATACAATTATTAATTAAAAGAGGATTTTGAGGTTGATATTAAGAATAGGAACTTAGGTCTCCACACAGAAAATAAACACCAAATAATATTTCTTCATTTGCTTAGTAACAATGAAATCTGAATTCACATGTTACAATTTTATGATAAGAAATATTTTATGATTAACAAATCCTGCAAAACAGTATGTACTTGTATTACACCTAACAGAACCAGAGAATGCAATAACCAGCATTAAAGTGACTTTATTATATTTTATTTAAACTCCCTATTTTTAATAAGAGTAAAGATGGGTTTAGAATTTATGGTTTCTTCCACATGCCCACAAGAATCCACTTCAGTGCCTTAACAAATTGAAAGGTGTTCTGTGCTTTTTGAACAAGAAATTATAAAAGAATCTGAAAACAGTTGCCTGTTGATGAAAGGGCTCATTCTCAAAGGTTAGAAAACGCTTTTATAGTGTGTGATTCAATGTGGCTGTGAATCAATTTTTTTCTCTATGTGATAATATTTAATCAAGTAGTCAGGCATTTGGAGTCTGATGCCAAAGGATCTTTATATGTGAACTGTTGTTAATGTAGCAGTAATGTCAGCACCACATCGATAAAAGGATAATAGTGGGAAAATAAATCTATATAATTTTGCACCTTGTAGGATAGCATACCTGCTTCAGGCAGTTGACTGTACTCTAGACTGGACATAAACTTCGCCTGGACAGCAAGACCATCTTCTTGTATACCTCCAGTTTTGGGTTGAGTCTGTTCCTGGAGATCAGCTTCCAGGTCAATCCCTTAAGAACAAAATAGGTTCTTGAGTGACATCAAGATGATGGAGGAAGGAGAATCCTCACTTCAATGGATGCACTGAATAAATATTGATACACATGTCAATATTCTCTGAGAGAAATAGAGAAGCAAATGTAGAGAGATCCTACATGCCAGAAAAGAGAATTTCCACAGTTACATGAGGAGTATAATCTGAGCCAAACTTTCTCCATCAATCCCACCCAAGGAACAATCTTATAATCTAATCAGCACAGAATACCAAACTCCCAGCTTCTCCCTAGCAGCAAAGGGTTTGGACCACACATAAAGCTCCTCTACTTTTACTGTTCCTGACCAGAGTTGTTGCCTTCCTAGCTCTGGAAGTGCAAGGGGTTTGATATATGGGAGTTCCCTGAGATCACAAAGGAAAAAAGACATGTTTTAAGACAGGCGTGGGAGCACATACCCCTGGCCTAGCTGTTCTACCTGGATTAAATCTATTTCTCTCTCTCTCTCCCCCTGCCTAGTACTGGGGAGTGAACCCAGGAATATTTTACCAATGAAATCCAGCCCACCACCCTGTTTTTGGAGACAGGGTCTTTCTAAGTTGCTCAGGGTAGCCTTGAACTTGACATCCTCCAGCCTCTCTCCCAAGTTGCTGGGACTACAGGTGTGTGGGCCACCATGACTGGGGCTTTAAACTTTATTTTAAATATCAATCTAATGATCAACTACACTGGAATTATATTACTGACATTTTACCATAGTGTACTCTGAACCATTAGCTATCAAGAACCTGAAGTCTACACCAGGGATAGAATAGAAGTTACACCTAAAATATAATTTTCCAAAGCATCAGCTGAGTGGATTTCTAGGCCAATCACTGATAAAATCATAGAGGTTACTCCAACACCTGGAGACTATATAATGTGCTATTGAATGAAAAATGGGTTGCAAAAGACATCAAAGAAGAGATTAAAAAATTCTTAGAGGTAAATGAAAACACTGATACAACATATCAAAACTCTCGACACTATGAAGGCAGTATTAAGAAGAAAGTTCATTGCATGGAGTTCATTTCAAAAGAAGAAAAAACTCAATGACTAACATTACATCTCAAAGCCCTAGTAAAAGAAGTACAAACCAACACCAAAAGCATTAGAAGACAGGAAATTATTAAAATCAGAGATGAAATCAATAAATTTGAAACAAAAGAAACAATTACAAAAATTGACAAAACAAAAAGTTGGTTCTTTGAAAAGATAAATAAAATTGATAAACCCTTAGCCATGCTAAAAAATAGAAGGACAAAGAAAACTCAAATTACTAACATCCTTGATGAAAAAGGAAATATCACGATGGACACTACAGAAGATAATTAGAAATTAGTTTTAAAATTTGTACTTAAATAAAATAGAAAATATAAACATTAACAAATTTCTAGAGTCATATGATTTGCCCAAACTAATCAAGATGATATACACAATTTAAACAGATCAATTTTAAGCAATGAAATAGAAGATGCCATCTTAAGCCTACCAACCAAGAAAAGCCCAGGACCAGATGGATACACAGCTGAATTCTACAAGACCTTCAAAGAAAAACTAATACCAATACACCTCAAATTATTTCATGAAAAAAAGATGTAACACTTTCAAACACATTCTATGAGACCAATATCACCCTGATTCCAAAACCAGAAAAAGTCACATTAAAGAAAGAAAACTTCAAATCAATATCTCTAATAAACATACATGCAAAAAATCTCAATGAAATTCTGACAAATCGAACACAAAAACATATCAAAAAGATAGTGCACCATGATCAAGTGGGGTTCATCCCAGGAATGCAAGGTTGGTTCAACATATGGAAATCAATGAATGTAATTCATCACATCAATAGACTTAAATTTAAGTAACATGATCCCCTCAATAGATGCAGAAAAAGCATTCAACAAAATACAGCACCCTTCATGTTCAAAACACTAGAAAAACTAGGGATAGAAGCTGGGGTTGTGGCTCAGTGGTAGAGCACTTGCATAGCATGTCTGAGGCACTGGGTTCGATCCTCAACACCACACAAAAATAAATAAATAAATAAATAAATAAATAAATAAATAAATAAAATACAGGTCAATCTGCAATTAGGAAAAAAACTAGGGACAAAAGGAACATATCTCAATGTTGTAAAAGCTATCTATGCTAAACCCCAGGCCAACATCATTCTAAATGGAGAAAAATTGAAAGCATTCCCTCTAAAAACTGGAACAAGACAGGAATGCCCTCTTTCACCATTTCTACTAAACATAGTTCTTGAAACTCTAACCAGAGCAATTAGACAGACCAAAGAAATTAAAGGAATATGGATAGGAAAGAACTATCACTTTTTGCTAATGACATGATTCTATACTTAGAGGATACAAAAAAATTCACCAGAAATCTTCTAGAACTAATAAATGAATTCATCAAAGTAGCAGGATATAAAATCAATACCCAGAAATTAAAGGCATTTCTGTACATCAGTGGCAAATCTACTGAAAGAGAAAATAGGAAAACCACCCCATTTACAACAGCCTCAAAAAAATAAAATACTTGGGAGTCAACTTAATGAAAGTGGTGAAAGATCTTTTCAATGAAAACTACAGAAAGCTAAAGAAAGAAATTAAAGAAGACATTAGAAGCTTTGGAAAGATCTCCCTTGTTCTTGGATAGGCAGAATTAATATTGTCAAAATGACCATACTACCAAAAGCACTATACAAATTTTATTTAATTCCAATTAAAATCACAATGACATTCCTCATAGAAATAGAAGAAGCAATCATGAAATTCATCTGGATAAATAAGAGACCCAGAATAGCCAAAACAATCCTTAGCAAGAAGAATGAAGCATGATGGCATCGCTTTACCATATCTTAAACTATACTACAGAGCAAGAGTAACAAAAACAGGATGGTATTGGCACCAAAATACTTGTAGGCCAATGGTACAGAACAGAGGACACAGAGACAAACCCACATAACTACAACTATGTCATATTAGACAAAGGTGCCAAAAACATATATTGTAGAAAAGATAGCATCTTCAAAAATGGTACTCAGAAAACTGGAATTCCATATGCAACAAAATGAAATTATACCAGTATCTCTCACCATGCACAAAACTCAACTCAAAGTGGACCAAGGACCTAGGAATTAAACCAGAGACACTGCACTAAATAGAAGAAAAAGCATACCCAAATCTTCCTCACATCATATTAGGTCCTGACTTCTTTAATAAGACTTCTATAGCACAAGAAATAAAATCAAAAATCAATAAATGGGATGGATTCAAACTGAAAAGCTTCTTCTCAGCAAAAGAAACAATCAGTGAGGTAAACAGAGAGCCTACATTTTGGGAGCAAATTTTTACCACACACACACATCAGATAGACCACTAATCTCTAGGATATATAATGAACTCAAAAATCTTAACTCCAAAAATCCAAATAACCCAACTAATCAATGGGTCAAGGAACTGAACAGACACTTCTCAGAAGATGATATACGATCAGTCAACAAACTATTTTTAAAAAGCTTCAACATCTCTAGCAATTAGAGAAATGCAAATCAAAACTAAGATTTTATCTCGCTCCAGTCAGAATGGCAACTATTAATACAAACAACAAGTGTTGGTGAAGATATGGGGGTAAAGGTACACTCATGCATTGCTGGTGTGACTTCAAATTGGTCTAGCCAATATGGAAAGCAGTATGGAAATTCCTCAGAAAATATGGGAGTGAAACCACCAATGACCCAGATATCCCACTCCTCATTATACACCCAAAGGATTTAAAAACAGCATACTACAATGATGCAGCCACATCAATGTTTATAGCAGCACAATTCACTATAGCTAAACTGTGGAACCAACTTAGATTCCCTTCAATAGATGAATGGATAAGAAACCCTGATAACTATACACACTGGAATTTTACTCAGCATTAAAAGAGAGTAAAATCATGGCATTTGCAGGTAAATGGATGTAGCTGGAGAATATCAATCCCCCCAAACCAAATGCCAAATGTTTTCTCTGATATGTGGATGCTGATACATAATAAGGATGGGAGTTGGTTAGTATGTGAGGAATGGGCATACATTAATTAGTTGAGCAAAGAGGAGGGAGGGGAAGCGAGGGGCCATGGGGATAGGAAAGATAGTGGAATGAGATGGACTTCATTACCCTAAGTGCATGTATGAATACATGAATGGGGTGTGACTACTTTGTGAACAACCAAAGTTATGAAAAATTGTGTTCTATATGTGTACTATGAATTGAAATGCATTCTGTTGTCCTATAAAACAAATTAGAATAAACAAATTTTTAAAAACGAAATAATTTTTGCTTTATGAAAATCTTGGAAACATTTAAATTTTTATCCTAAATATATTTAAATGTCTTTTTAAAAACACAGAGAAATCACAACATTATAGCTACTTGCATGCCAGTATACTAAATTAACCAGATTTTACCAAATTTACTGTAAAAGAGAAAAATGCCAGTCAATAGAAACAGTGGCTATCATTCATTGAGCTCTTTCTAGGGCCTGTACTGAGAGATTTGACTTTGTAAATATTTGAGTATTAATCAGTTCTAAACAAAATCATTCACAAAGAATAGATAATGGGAATACATAATGAAATATGAATCTGTCTCTACCAGCCAATACTTTGTGGTAAGACAGAATAGATGAGACTCCATTTTCTCATCTAGAAAAGGAGTTAATATTTCTATGTAACCACATCTTATTGTAAGTTCTGGAAGAACAGTGACTTAACACTCTACATGTGTGAAAATGTGAAATGATGTTTATACATATATGCAGTGAGTAAGAACTTATAATTTTAAGACTAAACTTAAACATTAGTTCCTTGAACTTGCTAATATAGAGCCCTAGCAAGGGAGGTTTTTAAAAAAAAGCACACATAATTCTCAAAAAAAAGAAATGTTTATGTTTTTTTTCTACAGTTACTAGAGTTGCCATTAAAGATGATGCATGCATACACCTTAAACCCACAGACATTTTCTTCCCCTTTTATCACCTTGATCCTCGGGTTCTTCTTCATCTTCTATCTCCTGACCAGATAAAATATCCCAAGTTTCACTTAGTGATATCTCTTGTAGAGCTGAATCATCACTACACCACTCATCCTATTGAAATGTGTACACATGTGCAAATTAAAATTTTGTTAATACATATAATAACTATACATTAGATATATTTAATAGATATATTTAATCTCATTGTAGATATATTTAATCTCATTGAAGTCTGAACTATTTAAATAGGATTCTATATAGTTGTCTTTAATACAGTCACCATTATCATACAGAGGTCTATCTCAGATGAGTCACATAACAATAATTTTAGAAGATATTTAATCTATGTGGGGAAGGATCTATTGTTAGTAAGCAAGAAAGAACTTATCAGGATTATTTGTGGGGAATGTAACAGCATTCTTCCTGGACATAGTACAGTGGAATCCTCCAGAATCCTCACTGCTTCCTCTATGAGGTCAATTTTCACCCTTTATCATCAAAGATGAACTTTTTCAGTGTAACTACGCTTATCAACATTTTCACAGAAATAAATTTCTGTTAAAAGGAAACATTAAACTTTGAAGCACTTACAACAAAAGGCTCAATCAGCTGAAAAGATTCTTCATCTCTTCTTCCGATGGATGTAGATCTTGATCTCATTTGCTCACTCATTTTATACTGAAAGCAGAATGATGTGATTTGCAAAAGGCACTTAAGAGAATAGATACATACATCATCATGTTTGTGGCCAAAGGTAAGCTTATAATGCTTTAAAATTTTGAAAATGCTTTAAAAGCATGTCCAAGAGTGTGTCTATGTTTCCCAAGTGTATGTAAAGCCCTGTATGTTGGTCATGCCAGAAAACAAACTGTCTTAAGTCATGTGGCAACGGATGGAAGACATTTATTTCACTGAGGTTCTTTAGGCAACGAGAATCTCTATCATCCAGACACTTAGGAAAGCACAACCAGACAACTGAGGCTAGAATGCCTACTGCTTTTGTCACAGCCTCATTAACTTGGTCCATCTGCCCCTAAAGTAACTTTCTGCTGGAACGCACTGCCTCCCTCATTCCTTCCTGCTACCCTCTAGGGCTGTTTCTGCCCAGTACATGTCAGAGGTGAGAATGTGCACTACAGAGCAATGGGTGCACCCCTCACTGGGTGCTCTACACTTCTCTGGGACTCATTCTCATACCCACAGAGTCCCCCTTTCCTGAACCTTCCCTCACCATGCTGTGTACCTTGCCCTGTCCCCACTGAGAACTTGTAAATCTGTCTCGTGTGCTGTGCAGCATCATCCAGGACCTAGATACCTCCAACATCACCCACAACACTCGTCCCATTGTCCAAGACCCACCGTCCTACCTTGTTAGTGCGTTCAACGTGTGCTGGGGAGCTTATCTCTCCAATATCCACTGTGGAGAGCTTGAGGGCACGGAGGAACCACTCCTGAGGTTTCAGAGAACTGTGTCTGCTGTATTGCACAGCAAGAATAGCTTTTATAGTGGGTATGTGCTAATTTACATATAGCAGTCATGATAGGCCAGGGGTAATACATACATATCATCTTACGTAAGTCAGGACACCAAGAGTCCAGAAACTGCCACGTAGCCTGACCCTGCACCAACAGAGAAATAAGTAACTTCTTGTCAAAGGAACAAGGAAATTGTGTTTACCAGAGTTCTGACAGCACTTTGTCCCAAAACATCGCGTTCTATGCTAAGACTCTCCTGTTGCACAATGAGCAAGATAAGCATTCCTTCATGTGGGTCCAAGGTTAGGAATTGCAGCAAACATGACCACGGCTCATGGTGGCAGGGCAGAAGTACCTGAGAGAAGCACAACTACCTCAAAGCCCTTCCAACTGCCTGGCCATGGAGCGAGCCCCTGGAATTGCTGCATGCTCTCTGGCACCCCTCACACTCGCTCACACTCATGCTCCTGGGATGGCTACTCTAAGGAGTCACCCAAAGAGTCAATTGGGTAGAGAAAACAAAGACTATAGAAAGGAAGAGTACCTGCAAGCCAGCCAGAGGACAGCAGAGTGCATGCACAATAAGGACACTCACAGTAAGGGGCATGAGCACTGAGTTATCCACTGCAAGGGTGGTCTGTGACCTCAGCAAAGACTCTGTCCTGAGGATAGGATGGGCTTACACAGTCCTTTGGATTTTCCTTCCCAATTTTTCATTCTCTTCCAGGAGCATGAAGGATAGACAGGCTACCTTTACACATATATTTATCTCTGAAAGACCCACTGTTATAGCAGTAGCTCTTAAGGATCTCAATACCTATTTTTAAAAATTTTCTTAGTTGAAGTAGGACACAATATGTTTATTTTGTTTATTTTTATGTGGTGCTTAGAATCAAGCCCAGAGACTCCCCTGTGCTAGGGAAGTGCTGTACTGCTGAACCACAACCCCAGTCCCTCAATACCTATTTTTACACATGCTTTGTTCAGTAATTTCCTCCCCTGCTTCTGTTTTTGTCATTTGGATTTTCTGACTCTTACAATGAATTTGCCACTTCCAAATAATAACTATATTCAGATATTTTTTTTTCTTTACTTTCAGGGGATACAATGTTATACTAGGTAAAGAATGTTGGGGAAAAAAAGAATGTTGGAGTCCTCACATAAGCAATTTTGTGACATATTTTACAACATTGATAGGCAGAACTGTGTGATATTGACATGGGAGAAAAATCAAATGTTTAAACCTAGACCCGTACATTTATGTTAAATTGAATTTTATACAAAGATTCCAAGGCAATTCAAAGGGAATGGTGCTTTATTCAAGTAAAAATGCTGGAATCGTTGGTCACTGACATATAAACAAATGAGGCTAAGCTTTTGAAAGCACATGGGGCACAAATATTGAAGGTGGGAGGCAGGAAACAGATCTTGAATCAGCATGGTCTACTTACTTCAGTGGTTGAGTCAATGAAACACCTGATGTGGCTCATTTTCAGGGGTAAAATGGCTTCTGGTCACCACGAGGTTCTGGGATTATATGCAGCCTTTACAAGTTCATGGAAGGAGTTAGTTATATTTGGCAGGCCCTTTGGTGGGCAGGGGCCAGGTCCAGGCCATAGGAGGAGTTTTGGTGGGGGGAACATTTAGGGCTGGGCAGGAGGGCAGTTAGGTAACCGTATCCTTCAACCTTTATCTCACTTCACATACAAAAATTAAATCAAAATGCTTCATAGGATTAGACATAAGAGCTAAGGTTATAAAAGCTAAAAGGCATAAAATTTTCAGGATCAAACATAGGGGCCCCTGCTGAGGCCCTGGACTGCAGAGCTGAAGATGCAGCACTCTAGTGAAGGCTTCCCTTGCCACTGTGCCATCCTCTCCTGGCTTGGGGGTCCTAGTCAACTCTTGTCTTTCTCTTTGGGGAAGGGATTGCAGCTGTAGAGGAAGGTCGAGGGAGGAGAAGTTAGAAAGCACAGATGAACAGAGCATTCAGAGGGAACTGCAACAACACAGCAACCCCTGCCCCAGACCCCAGGGCACCACTGCCTAGGTAGCTAGTGAGGCCTCTGACATATGATCCATCTGGGAACAGGCCTGTTTTCCTGACACTCTAGTGCGGTAGTCTTGGTTCTCAGGTTCTTGCCTTTTGTGCTTGCTTACTGTGACATTGCCTTTTTTTCCTCATGAGGACTTCTGTGTGGACTCAGGAAATGAAAAACCACCTGGAGGAAAAGCCCCATGCTTGGGATGGGGGGTCCTGCAAAGTTCCCTGTATTAAAGTATTCCCTCCCAGGGTGGATTACTGGTAGGTGGCCTCATGGGAGGTATTTAGGTCATGCAGGACATGCTCCTGAGGGAATGTGAGACTCTGCTGCTTTCTTCTTCCTCTATCACTTCTGTATTGTGAAGTAAGCTGTTTGTTTTGCTTCACCCATGTTGGTGTGCTGCCCTTACCAGAGGCCTAACAATATGCCACTTTGTGATTTTGGACTAGACTCTCCACTATAAAGTGTTTCTCTTTAATTTAGCCACAGGTATTTTGTTATAGTAACAAAAAGCTTAATAGTACAGAAAATAGGTACCAAGAAGTTTGGAGCAATCGTTGCTGTAAGTATATACTTGAAGATGTGAAAGAATCAGCTAATGGGAAGAGGATGGAAGAGATTAGAGCAACAGACTAGAGAAAGCAGTCTTCCTACCAGTCTTAGAGTTTGTGCTCCATTATTAACCTTCTCAGGGACACTTCTCCTGTGCACCCTGTGTAACCTAGTTACTTCTAGACTAGCTCCTAGATTATTCTGTTCTCGACACTTTTCACAGTCTGGATGCACTTATTCATTGGTTGGTTTGTCTTCTATTGCTCCCTACTTCAGAGCTAAATCTCCAGTTGATGTAAGAACAGAAACAACCATGAATCGAGGAACTACAACCATTTGTTTGATATTAATTAACGGGTCATTTGTGACTTCTTGCTTCCTTGTCCTAATGCATTGCATTTCTGAAGAATCTCTCTTCATCACTACAAGTATTTTTGCAATGCATGTTTCCCACAGTAACTCTTGTGGGATTCTGAGTGTGTGTGTGGTGATGCCATATGGAATACCTTGCCCTGTTCTGCCTCTCTTCTTCATCATTAAATTATTTTATTGCTGTTTTAAGTGGCACGTGTCTGATAAATATGAAGGAGACGTGCAAGATGTTTCCTGATGAAAATGATCCTACTACAGACATGAACAGATACCTACACTTCCGCAATGACTTCTTGAACAAATCATAAACTTATCCTAGGCATGAGAAGTAATGTCAGGACAGTTCTAAACATAAGGATTTTTTCCCCTTTCAAATTTGGGACTCAAATTTAACTTGCAAGGTGAAATGGCTAACTGCTTGGTCAGAGAGATGAGTGCAGTTTCAGAATTTTGTTGATTTGGATTTCTGTTGTGTTGTAGTGTTGCAGGGGACAGACAAACATCTAAGATAACAGGAAACAGTTTTATTTGGCTGCAGCCAGGTTCAGAGGGCACAACTTTTCCTGTAATCAATGAATCCCCCTGAACCCTTAGTTTAGGCGTTTCAGAACTTTGTACCCAGCATGTAAGGTGAGGGGCTCAGAAGTTCACAGTCTGCAGAATTTCACACAAATGCAGCTTTTTCTTTCACTGTTCTGAGCAAGTTAACCTTTCAAGGACAACACCTGAGAAGGGGAGAGCTTCTTCTCCCCTTCTTTCCTCCCCCTGCCAGCTCTTGCCAGGGAGCCCAATTAGTAACCTCTTATCTTTGAAACTTAAACATCTCTGTGAAGCTCCAGTCCAAGGCCAGGGACCTATTTAAAATAATCTGTTTTTCTTATCACACTCTGTATTTGCAAGCACACTTCTACAAACTATTACATATGTTGTTATTTATATTAGATAGTCCATAAATATTTGTGAAATCCTAGTAAAGGGGCATTCAGCACCTGGAGTGCTGATCTCTTCCAGGCCAAGTAAGATAGAGCAACAGGAAATAAGAAATCTAACTACATTTGATGAACCCAACCTAATTCCAACTGAAGATTGGGAGCCATCTCATCACAAAGTCATGACAAGTTCATTTCTGTTTTACTAACATTTCTGTTTGGCCTGATCATACTTTGATGTTTAAACTTGTTTGGAATTCCTGCCCATGCTTTGAACTTGCCCATGCCTGGCTCTCCTTGACCAGATAACAACCCTCCCTAAAACCTCAGTGGCTCATCATAAATTCTGAGGTTGATATCTAAATTTACTCCCTACCTTGAAATGTTAAGCCATGTAGACCATTAACCTGATTTCTGCCCTTGTATTACACTTGCCAGAACCCTGTTAGCTGTAAGTTTCCAAGACACTAGCCTTTGTAACATTTTTTTGCTATGAAAACATCCCTGCTCTTAGATCAGATACTGTCCTCTGGCATGGCCTTAGTTGAGGTGGTTGTTGATAAGAAACTGGAGATGTTTGTCTTTTCTTTGCATCACAGGTTCAATGCACTGAATTCTTTTGTAGAGATTCTTGTGCTGATAGTCCTAAGATCAATTATGGTGAAGATTTCTGGAGAAGCTTAGTTAAGATTTTCTGTGGAGGAGGGGGTGCCACTATAATAGGTGAGCTAAAGGGGCTGTATTCCATAATAGGGAAATCCAGGAAGGAAGCCTATCCTGGCTGAGGGCTAAGTGACCCTGCAGTCAGGCTGTGGAGTAGACAGCACTGACCAGCAGAATGGAGGATGAGATCCAGATTCAGAAAAGTCTGCAAATACCTGCAGAGTTGTGTTACAACAGAGTCAGACAGGGAGCAGCAGGTCCCAACAAAGATAAGGCAAATACACAAGTTAAACCAGCCACAGACATCTTTAGGCAGGTCAGCCTCACAAACAGGACTTGGGACACTCGTCATCCCTATCTCAAGAAATATCGATGAGTTGAGTAGAGTGCTTGCCTCACATGCACAAGGCCCTGGGTTCAATCCCCTACACCACAAAAGAGAGAGACAGAGAGACAGAGAGACAGAGAGAGAGAGAAGAAGAAGAAGAAGGAGAAGGAGGAGGAGGAGGAGGAGGAGGAGAAGAGGAGGAGGAGGAGGAGGAGAATAAAAACCAATGATATTGCTTACTACATGGGATGTTACAAACCCCTTCCCACATCACCGTGGCCACTCAGAAGTCACGAAGACCCCTTTCCCATCTTGGGTGGGAGTCAGGACTTATGTGGAAATCTG